AGAAAAAGCTAAGCAAATTGATAGTTTAAGATTTAAACTATTATATTGAAGTAAGAGTTGTATTAAAAATAATGTTGGTGTGATTATATAGATAAGAGATTTAAGGATGATGTTGTCGAAATTAATAAAATTGGAGATAAAATTATACCTTTAAAAATTATTATTATGTTAAGATTATTAATATTATTACTATTTATGCTCCTCAACTAAGTTTGGATACGTGTTCAATGGAATGACTTAGAAGAATTAGTACAAATGATATCTCTAGAAGAAAAAAATTTATTGGGGGAGATTTAAATGGACATGTTGGCAGAGTTTGTAGAAGATTTTAAAAGTATTCATGGTAGCTATGTGTTAACAATACTTATATTCAAGTCATTAAGGATATCTATCTACATATTGTTAATTGTGTTCAAATACAAGATGATTTGACTGAATATTTTCCTATTTCAGTTGTATTACATCAAGATTAGCTTTAAGCCCATATCTTTTTTCTTTAGCCATAAATGTTCTTACTTTACATTTGCAAGAATATGTACCATTGTGTATGTTTTTTATTGATGATATTCTTCTTGTTGAGAAAATTAGAGAGGGAGTTGAAAGAAAACTTAAATTATGACGGTCAACCTTATAGTCTAAGGGTTTTTGTTTGAGTAGATCTAAAACTAAATACATGAGATATAATTTTAGCAGTAATAGTGAGGGATTGTGACAACCAAAATCGGAGAAATTTAGGAAAAGCCTTGGCTAAAATCTGATTTCAGCAAATTCAAAAAACCAATTACAAGAAAATCAAGAATAAAACACACAAGAACAATTTTATGAAAGAAAAGACAACATACAAGTAGATCTTCAATTGGAGAGGAAGATCTGGCTATCCCAAATCCCTAGCCGCCGGCTAGAGTCCAAAAAACTTAAGAACAATCTAATTTCAACAACCAACACGGCAACACATACCCCTAACCCCAGGAAAATCATCTATTTAAAGCAAATAATAAAGAACAAATACCCAAACAACACTCCCCCAATTCCCTCATATTTCCTTAATTATTTCCCTCCTAAATCAGCCCCTAAATATGTCATCTTCAATTAGGAAATATTTCCTAATTAATCCCCTCTAAATCAACCACCAAATCTACCCTCTTCAATTAGAAAATATTTCTTAATTAATCCCCTCCAAATCATCCCCCTAATCAGCCCCCAAATCTGTCCTCTTCAATTAGGAAATATTTCCTAATTAATCCCCTCTAAATCACCCCCTAAATATGTTATCTTCAATTAAGAAACATCACTTAAGTAATTCCTTTTGATTAAGAACCTTCCTAAACAAGTCCCTCTTGATTAGAAAATTTCCTAAGTCCCTCCCAATCAAATCGGTCGATCCATCAATGAGTTGTCAAGTTATAGGTGTAGAAATTGGTAGTATCAATATCAAGACAGCGTCAGACTTTGATGTTGAGATGGTTTTAAAATATCGATGTTGTAACAATGTCAAACGTCGATGTTGAACTGACATTGGACATTGTTGTGAAACCAAAATCAAAACGGGCTAAAGAGAAATAAAAATGAGAATATTCGATGAAAGGGGCATTGAGTACGGGCAATTGATCTGGTGTTATGGATAAAAAATAAGAAATTTAATTTTTATATTTTAAATAGATAAAAAAAATTAAATATAAGAAATTATATTTTTAAAAAATTCATTAAATATTTAACATGCATGTTCAATTTGTATTTAATATTTTTTTAATAAGACACATGTCATGTCGGATATGCATCAAACATGGCACATCTCTTTAAGGAGATGTGTCGGTGCATCATAGTTGGACAACAACCAAATGCTGTCCCAACTCTTATTTCATGGTAAAACAGTAAAATAGCGATTCCAGGAGAGTTACAGTAGCAAGGGGATGCCTCAAGAATCAATAGTGATCAACGGAGCAAGAAAGCGGCAGCTACATCAGAGGTAAAACAAAGATAACAACAAAGTGAAACAAAAGCAAGAAAGAGAAGCAACTGCAAGTAAGCATTGGCTAAGGCAACAGAGCAAGAAAGCAGTACAAATAAAGTAATCGGAACCGCTTTCTTGGATTTTGTATGAAAGAAAAAGGGGAAAAAAAAAAGATGAATACATTTTTTTAGAGAATTTTCCTATTGAATTTGTTGCATAATTCAAAAGTTTAAATAGGAAATTACAGTAAAATTTAATTCACTCTTAAACAAATTCCATGAAAAGATCTATGACAACAAATTTTCTCAGTTCAAACTTAACCATGAATACAAAATCAGAAACAACCTTAAACAAATAAGTTTAAATTCAAACACACCCATATGATGTAATCTGAATTTTGATCCAAAGGTTGAGCTAGTGAGGCATTGATCTCTCTCGTACGCTGCCCAATTTATGTACCAATATAACCTATGGAGTCAAAGAGATACCATTATTGATCTCAATGATATGACCTGAAAATCACCTAAGTTGATAATCTCCATAAATAAATCAAATCATTAAGACTTCATTAAACATGATCTATTTGATCTTTCCACAATCTAATGCTCAAATCATACTAAGAAATTATTTGATTGGTGGCCTACTCACCAAATCTACAATAATAGAAAAGTCTATAATTGTTCCATAGCTAATTTTACTATTAACTAATGCTATCATAATATAATATATATCTTTAATGGCATAAACATCCATTTGACATGTTTTCATGACACAAATCAAATCAAATCTCATGTAACTTAATCATATATCCTCTCAAAATCATTAAAAATAATTTGAAGATCTTTTCGTTATGCTCTCTGTCTTTCCATAAATTCCCTATGCATAAGAAATCATACCCAAAATGGATCTTCTGGGCAAAAAACAAGTCTATCATTGCTATCAAAATAATTTTTTAACTATATTTTATTGCTCTTTCATAAAATCAAACTATATGACTCGTATTCCATTGTTGCACCATGTAACATTCTTTTATGACTTAAACCCAAAACAAATACCTTCCTAAAATAGAAGAGTTAATTTAGGAAACAATTTGAGTTCAAATTTAAATGAATTTGAATTTCAAATTGATCCCAACTAAGCCCAACCCAATTAGGAAACAAAATAAAGAAAAAAAAAAGGCTAGGGGATTAGTGGCCGGCGGCAAAGGGGATTGGGGATGCTTGGCCGTGGGGGTGTTAGGAAGTGGATGATGGATCGGGTGAGGGGCTTTGACCGTGAAGGGGAGGAGGAAGGGTGCAGGGTTGTGGAAGCTCGATGAGGAGGTGATGATAAGATAAAGAAGATAAAACCACGAACCCGGCCGTCTCCAAGGTTGGTGGGTGATACGCCAATTTCCCTCTCCAAGGGATCTCTCCAAAACTCTCCAAGAACTCTCAAAGGCTCCGCAAACACAAGTGCAGGAAAATTTTCTCATAATCATTCATTAGCTTGCAAAAAAAACAAAGGGGCTTTAAATAGCCTCATACACAAGACTCTAACTAACATGACACAATTGCCCTTAGGCTTACACATGACCATTCCCATACAAAGGGGTACAAAGAGAAATAAAATAAACACTCATAAGCAAATAATAAAATGCATGAAAACAAAATACATCGACTCAAAAATATAACGACTCGATCGTGGCCGTAGATCGGCGGCCACGTCGCTGGTAAACTCTCCATGATGATCTGATGTCCCCATCAGTCAAAGAGATATCATTATTGATCTCAATTATATGACCTGAAAATCACCTAAGTTGATAATCTCCATAAATAAATCAAAGCATTAAGACTTCAATAAACATGATCTATTTGATCTTTCCACAATCTAATGCTCAAATCATAATAAGAAATTATTTGATTGGTGGACGACTCACCAAATCTACAATAATGCTAATTTTACTATTAACTAATGCTATCATAATATAATATATATCTTTAATGGAATAAACATCCATTTGACAATTTTTCATGATACAAATCAAATCAAATCTCATGTAACTTAACCATGTATCCTCTCAAATCATTAAAAATAATTTGAAGATCTTTTCGTTATGCTCAATGTCTTTCCATAAATTCCCTATGCATAAGAAATCATATCCAAAATGTAATCTTCTGGGCAAAAAACAAGTCTATCATTGCTATCAACATAGTTTTTTTAACTATATTTCATTGCTCTATCATAAAATCACACAATATGACTCGTATTCCATTGTTGCACCATGTAACATCCTTTTATGACTCAAAAGTTTGATTTTAACAATCATAAATATCTCTTTAGCTCAATAATATTAGTACAAAAAAAATTTCTACAATTATTTAGCATCTTCTTAGGCTTTAAATTTCATCTAGAATAACTGCTAACCAATACCACTCCAATATCTTCATAAATCTCCAAATTGTAGTAAGCATGTCATCTAGATCAAACTCTTTACCTCTATTGCATTTTGTTCACTTCATTTATTGTATATTTTATAATACACTTTATCACTTTATCCACTATGCTCTTAAAAAAAGATATCTTACTCAAAATTTTAATTTAATAACTTTTTAAAGTAACATTTTCCATCTTTCATTGCTATCTTGCTATCTTCAAATGTAACTATGATGTTATAATAATCATTTTTAGTGCATCAAAATTGATCAAACTCTCAAGATCTTTTATATCTTTTATTAACTATTTTACATGTCATTTTCTCACTTAATACCTAGCCTATCATTTAAATCAATAAAAATGATAGCTTTGCTTTACTTATTACTCTCTTTATAAAACTTATAGCTTTTGATCAGTACAAGTTGTAGCATAAGAAAACGCAAAAACAAGTATTATAGGCATTATCAAGCCCATAAGCCTATAACAAATATTATAATACTAAAGTTTGAACCAAACTTTGGTCAAACACAAATTTCTTAACGTTTATGCTAAATTGATTTTCCTCCAAACTATACAAGTTTTTGAAATAGCCCAATCCATTTGCATATAATCTCAATGTTTTTTTTCCTTAACAATTAAACGTTTACAACTAAGGCAGGTTATAGAAAAATCTCAATCTCTGTACCTCAAATGTTGAGTATATTTCAGTATTGAAGCCAAAGTCCTCACCCTTGTCATTAGTCCCAAATCCCCGGGGCTCTCCAAAATAAATTCCTGTAATAACCTCCGAACAAATCATTCGCAATTAAATATTATTCCTTAGGTGATTAAATAATAATAATAATAATAATCTTCAAAGAGCAATGAACAAAATCATGAAAACAAGTGATTTACAAAAAGACCTCTCTTATGGAGGCACTTTTTATAAAGTATCTTACTAGATAACTATAGAAATTAGTGAAAGGGCCTCCATATGTGTTTATTAAACTTGAAAATGAAAAGCAATCGAGTACCACAATAGTTGACTTGGTGGACATAAAAAAAATGTGTATAAAAAATATTAAATTTATTTAATATATATCAACTAAATTAATGATTTGCACCACACATAGCTATTGGTGAGCAAAAAAATTCCATTTATGATAGGAACACATGAAGATGCTTAAGATTAGGAGTGTCAAAAAATGATCCGACCTACCAACCTAACCCTAATTCGGCCTGAAAAATTCAAGTTCGGGTTGACCCGATTAATAAACAGGTCGGGTTCAGGTCCATAATTCTAACCCGTTTATTAAAAGGGTCTGGTACTCTGGTTCGAATTGACCTGTCAATTCGACTTTGGACTGAAATGACTCGTTTAAATAATTTTTTTTTGTATTCATTGGTATGATTATCTTATATTTTATTAATTAAACTAAAATCTACTGTTAAAAAGTTATTAAAAAAATTAAATCAAAATGGGTTATCAGGTCTGGTTCGAGTCATTCGGTTTGCTAGCGTGTCAAGTTCGGGTCCGCATTTTTTACCCGTTAATTAAACGGGTTGGGTTATGGTTGACCAAATTCGGGCCTGGTCAATTTCAAGTTGGACCCAAACCTAACCCGTTGACTCGTTTTACACCCTACTTAAGATAGTTTTCAAAAAAAAAAAAAAGAATCATGATATATTTTCTTGTAGAAGATATAATGATTGTTAGTGAGTCCCCTGATAAGTAACTAAAAAATTAGCATGATTAAGAACACCTTTAGAAAGGCTTACTGGAACAAAGATTAAGAATATATCATGTAATATCAATGAATACAACAACAACACCACCAAGCCTTTATCCCACAATGTGGGGTCATCTAAATGAACCTTTTTTCTCAATTATGTCCTATTAAGAGTCAAATTCTCATTTAAATCTACAACAACAACAAGCCTTTATCCCACTACATGGGGTCGGCTACATGAATTTTTTTTCTCCATTGTGTCCTATTAAAAGTCAAATTTTCGTTTAAATCTAATAAATAAATAAAATATCATTTTTAATATTTTCGAATCAAGTCTTTTTAGATCTTCCTCTATCTCTCTTAACATAGGCCAAATTTAATACATCTACTTTCCTAACTAGGTCATCAGCAAGCCGACATTTTATGTGACCAAATCATCTAAGGCGACTCTCTCTAATCTTATCTGCCACTGGAGCTACTCCAAACTTTTCACACGTAATACAATGAATAACAAATGAAAAATTGCCAATCAAAATTGCAAGAAATCAAGTGATGTCTTCATAAGTTAAAATATTTTAGATCTGTAAAACAAAGAAGCGAGATACAATCATAGCATAATTTCAAAAGTTAAAATCAAATGCTTAAAATGAAGTGGTGTCTCAACAGTATTGAAAGATAAGAGAGCTTCATGAATATTAAAAAATAATAATCAAATTACGATTAGATAAATGTGATATATATAGATTTGAGTATTCAATCAAAAAGTTATTGATAACTTAGATTAGTACAAAAAAAATCACTTATCGGAAAGTTGAATGGAGAATTTTAAGATGGAAGTGGTAAAAATTATAATAAATAAAATGAGAGATCATTATATTATAAGGATAGTCAAAATAGCAACAATCAAAGATAAGATAATTGAAACTAAACTTTGATGGCTTAAGTGGATACACTAGAGAACAAATGATTAAATAACAAGATGAGGCAATATATTAAAGGACTGGTAAGGAAAAAAGTGTGGACTACATATAACTTGATTACATGTGTAAAACAATTTTTAAAAAATGAGTCCACAAATTAAGTTGACTCCAACATGAGTGAATGGAGACTACATTTCATAAAACCAATAAAAAATAATTGGGATAAGCAAATGAAGATTATAAGAATAAACTGACATAACTACCAAAAATAAAAATATAGGCATGTACCTCCCGTAAGCTCTCTAATTACGATTAAGTCAACTCCTTCAGCAACCTCTTTCTTTAAAGTCGAGGAGTCAACCAACTACACAAGATAAATAAAGAAAATAAAACACAATAATAAATAAATGTTGTAAGAAGATTGCATATGTCTAGATCACCCATCATCATGCAAGTTTACATGTTCGAAGAAAATCAACATTATTTACCAACCAATTTTTATAAAACGAAAGAGACAAAAATCTTAAAAATAAAAGGAGATAGAATGAAAGAAGAATCATAAAAATTGATAGCACAATCAAGTAAAAAATACAGGAGATGAAAAATACAATTGCTAAGATTATTTTCCTTAACAATTTTTTTTAATATCAATAGAAACAAAAGGATGTAAAATATGAGAATTAGTATCAAATGTTAAAAATAACAACATGTCACATCTAAATCAGTCGATAAATCATAGCATTAAGCTTATATATAGAAAAAAAATACAGAATCACTAATCTGTCCAGACCAAAATGTAAAAGGTTTTAGTATACCACTCAACAAGGAAACCCTCGGGGGATAATATTAGGGACATGGGAGAAAAGGTATATAAAATTGCATAAGAAACTTTTTACTGCTTATGAACATGTATATGTTCATTAAACCAGAATGCTGCAAGTTAAACACAAATATGTTCATAAATTCATAATTACCTCAATCATCAATTTTTTTTCTTTCAAAATCAGTTCAAATGATAAGATTTAAGTAACTGAAATAGCCCCCCATTTACCTTTCATGTTGACGATCCATGTCAAGACAATCTTAAACACTTTGGAAAAGGATGATGATTACAATGCAAGATATCCACTAATGCAAACATAGGATTGGATGAAGAATGGCTTCTAAAGGTTAAATCACGTCTCAATTTTGTTTGACATAAAATTGACATAATTACAATTGAATTATTCAGGTCAAGAATTCATACCTAATCATGTCCACCTCATGTTTACTGAAACTATTTCCAGCTCTTGTTGCTTCACCTCTCTATTGTCACAAACCATGACCATATCATGAACTATTAAGATACCATTACGAAATTCATATGATATTTGTATATTAATACAAACTTTTAGTGCACGTATATAATATGTTAAAATAATATTATATCCTATTTATGCGATATTGATAATATCTTTTTTGCAGAAGGATGTTTTCACTTATAGATTGAATTTTTAGTAAGTTATTCTAACTTTTAATGTTTCATAATATTTCTAACATAGCTTGCAATGTATGTGTTATTTGCTATGACAGCACTAATGAAATGTATGATTATAAACTTGTCTAAATTTTATGTCTCCTAGTTGCATCTGCGACAGGTTTATAATTGTCATCATAAAAAGTTAATTTTCTATGAATATTTTCAAACAAATCATATATATGTTGTGCAAATAATTGTGCAAACTCACTAGGCATAAGAATCTCAGCAAAACCTAAAAGGTTCTGTAGGTTAAACCCTATAATAATCAGAATCATATGTATACTCTTTAATCAAACATATTAATGATTACACATACTCCTAGTAATGATCACACATACTCCTATTAAGTGCATTGAGTCCATCGATTTAAGGCTGATAAGCATTTGTATTTTTAGTTAGGTTCCCATCTTTTCGCATAGAGCTTTCTACAATTCATGAATTTTATATCTCCGTCTGACATAATAGTTTCAAATAAACCATACAATTTAAAAACTTCATTAAATACATTTTTAAATGTGAATTATGATATAAGCCAAAAGTTTTATAATGCAATATGAAACAAGCAAAGCTCAACCAAACCTGAAAAGTTCTCTAGATTAACACCCGATCATATGTATGCTCTTTAATCAAATATAGTAATGATCACACATACTCCTACTAACTACATTGAGTCCATCGTTGCTAAGGCTAATACGCATTTGAACTTTTTAATTAGGTTACCATCTTTTCACGTAGATTTTTCCACAACTCAAGAATTGTATATATTTGCAGGTACAATCATTTCAAATAAACCATACAATTTAATAACTTCATTAAGATACGTTTTTCTATATGAATTATGAGATGTGTCAAAAGTTTTATAATGCAAAATGAAATGAGCTATTTTGTAAAAGTGATCAAACAAGACCAAAATAAAATCATTTTTCCTTAAAGTTTGCGGTAATCCTAGAACAAAATCCACATTATTATCCTCCCAAGGCTTATATGGAATATCCAATCATGTATAAAGTCCCATATTGCTTCTTCTCACATGTAGTTTAACAAATTATGTATTGAGAGACTATACGCTACATCTCTTTCCAAGTTGGAAAGGAACAAATGTCATCAGACATCAATCATAGCTATAATTTTATCAAAGCCAAAATTTCTTGCAACACCACCAGCATGAAACTCCATGTAAGAGAATCTCTACAAATATCAAGAATGAAAAGTAGAGCTCCCTAAAAAGAAAGTCATATTAATCATAAAATCCTTATTAAACATAATTGAGTCACTAATTAAGTCACAATATATTTCATGAAAATCCTTATAGTTGGCAGTCTGATTCAACAACACCAATTAAAATATCAACAGATATATTTTCAACTCTTGCATGATATTTCAACAAAAATATGTATTCCAACATATTCAACCCATTTGGCAGCATATATCATAACTTCTTTTAAGAGTTCAAATATTTATTGCTAAATGATCATACTATAGGATGAATTCCATAGTCAACAAGTAAAATCTCCAGTATTGCAACCTATATGTAACTCAAAAAAGAAGATTGGCTTCATAAGTAATTGGGACTGGGGCCATTGACTTGCTAGAATTTCAAAAAAGCTCAACTGCTTAACTAACTTGAAGTTGTTTGATTTGATGCCAAATGAATGCAAAGAAAATATTTTAAAATTATCAGTGTGTTTTGGTGCAAAGTTGCTGTACTTTCATGACACCTAAGAATCTTTTTGTTCATTCACATCATCAAATCACCACAAGTTCAGAAAATCATTCAACTATATTTGCTTCAAAGAGGTTTATTTATACAGTAAATACTTTACTTGCAACCAAACATCCCTTAAAATCAATATGGTCATTTCCAACATTCAACAAAGACCTAATAAAGTAATCAATCTTCAGATAAAAGAGGGCAAACAACTCCATAGAAAAGTTTCCAAATTTCATAATTCAACATAGCAGGTACATAACAAGAGATGAAAATTATTCATCACAAAGTACCTGTGGCCACACCGTGGCTGGCCTCAAGTTTGCAAATACGCCTAAACCAGCCCTAAGCTGAAGAAGCCCTGTTTCAGGCTTCAGCGGCTTCTCATTCCCATCCCACTTGTACCTAGAAAACAAACGGTCAGCATCAAAGCAATGTATATCATAGAAAAGTACTACAGAAACTTAAAACTAATCAACAGATCACGAACCCCCCTATTGCTCCCAAAAGAACCGCATCAGATTGCTTAGCAGCGGCCAAAGTTTCCTCCGGCAACGGTACCCCAACAGCATCTAGCGCCGCTCCACCCATCGGCATCTCGTTGAAGCAAAACTCAATTCCTGCAGAAAACACAAGCAAAGGGTCTAGTTTCTCAGGCGCAGACCATGAAATGAGAAACTTCGCGAAGCTTTAAAATAAAGAACAAGCCTTCATGAGCTCCGGCAACGGATAGGATGTCCTTGGCTACGGAAACGACCTCTGGTCCGATACCATCGCCGGGAAGGAGAGTGATGCTATAGCTCCGGGGATGCAGTGGCCTTGCAGCGGAGCAGCGGAGGCTTGTTGGCTTCCGCGGAGCGCCGAATCGAGATGGCACAGAACCTAGGGTTTTCATAAGCTGTGGTTTTGAGTGGATAGCAGCCATGCTGTATCGGAGCAAGGAACCCAAAGGAGAGTCGAGGGCTTGAGGCAGGGTGGCGAGAGGGAGTTGATCGGGACATGAAAGGGTTTTATTTCGTATCCATCGCAAACTGGTACGGCGGAGTGCACAGCGTTTTTTTTTTTTTTTATTTATTTATTTTAGCTCTTTGAGCGAATTTAATAATATTTTAGATCTCAAACGAATTCTCCATAAAAAAGGAAAATTGGGACAAAATTACAATTTTTTTAATGAAAATTTTGCTAAAAGTTGCTATAAAATAAAGAAATAATCGTAAGAATATGAGGGATTATTTATTGCTGCAAAAATTAATTCGAAATTAAAAGAATATAGTATAAAATAAATATAGTAATTTATAACATTTTTAAATTATTTAAATAAGTAAATTATAAGTATATGAGATTTTTTTTAATTAGTTTGAAGCCAAATTATTTCAATATAAAACTTAAGGGCATCTCCAACCGAACTACAACTGCTTGAATGGCGTCCCTGGCCAGCTCCAGCCAAACTGCAAATTTCCCGCTATTTGGCTGCAGGTGAACAGCGGGACGCCAATATTGGCGTTGCATTGTCTATTTCTGCCATTTTTATCTCTCTACTGAACTTGGCGCGGGAAAGAAGAGAGGATCGTTACATGCAAAAGTGTGAAAAGTGAAGTTCGATTGGAGATGAATCGCGGCATTTTGTAGTTTCACGACATTTTGGAGTGAAAAATGAGATTTTCGGTTGGAGATGCTCTAATAGACAGGCAAATGACGGGAAGCAGTGATAGAGGCAAATGATGGCAATGACGAAAGTCGGCCATTTAAAATTCGACTAAATTGGATGAATTGCAAATACATTGTGAATGAATTAAAAATTTCTAAATATTTTAAATGATTCTTCCAATCAAATAGCTTAAAATTCAAACCTTCTACATTTGATTTATTTTATACTCAAAATACTTCAAAATAAATAGCCCCTCACTAGAGAAAGTTATATTTGATGATATATTACTTTATATTTTCTATTTGATGTGTTATTGTTTATTTATTTGTTTTCATTTTTAATTTTATTGAAAACACTAATTATTTTTTTCAACTTCATTTTTTTTTGTTAGATTAAGGCTTCGTTTGGGACAGCTTTTTTTATTGCTTCTTAAAGCAGCTTTTTAGTACAAAATTTATAACTTTTGTATTAAAAAACAGCTTTTAAGAAGCATAAGAAGCATGAATAAAGACGTCCCAAATGAAGCCTAAGTTTCTTATTTTACAAAGTTAATTGCTTTTATAATAAATACAAGTCAATATTAAGATATCTCTATAATTTTAATAAACATGGTTATCTATATATCAAAATTATGGAGGAAAAAGATTCATAGAGTCGAGCTCATGTAGTTGGATATAAATTCGATGTTATTGCATGATTATTTGTTGTTTCAATAATAGCTATTAAATGGACTCCATCTACTTAAATTACATTTTCATGATATAAAAAGAAAAACTTTTAGATGGCTACATTATAGGTGTGGAAAATAAAATAATGAAAAAGTTATGAGTTGAGCACTCAAATATGCATGTTATCTTTCGGTGCATATGAGGTTGTTATCACCATGATAGAGTGATAGTGAAGAGAATTCGATGGTGCAAGGCGATATGATCATCATTATCATGGTACACATCCAAATGACATTATTATAAATTTAAGACCGTCGTGGATGAGAGGAGAGCATAGTTTAATCTTGATACAATTGTGATTGATGATTGTTGCATGTTGAAATATTCACGGCGATAGAGAAAGAGAGTTTAACGTCTCAATTTTATACAAAGATCCAGCACACAAACAGCTTCGTACGAATGATGTTTCTAATCAGCCATCTAAAAACACGTCATTACAAATGATGATCTCATGAGTGTTTCAATGATGATGGATCAAATATTTGGCACTCAAGTTTACAAGAATATTACCAAAGAGGGTTAGCGACCTCTTAATCGTTCCTAGTGAAAAATGAAAATGACATAAGCTTTTTGGATCAAACTCATCAGCCGCTACCACCCACCACCTTCTACAACCACCATCATTGGACTTTATACTACATTCATTTTACTTCAAGTCAAACAAAAACATTGCCTACATTTATTTAATATTCATCCAAATAACTTCAAATATTTTAAATACAATATATTCTTTAATATTATATTCCCTTTTGCTTTACATTCCTTTTTCAGCAAACCAAACAACGAAGCTTTGCATTACTATTATACTATTTAAAAAGCCAGCACTCTTAAAGAAACATTCAATCAGAACAATTCATTAATAAAACTTCTATATCACAATCAATATCATGACCTCATTATATAGCCCCAGTAGTAGAAACACAAAATACTGCACTTGAAGAAGCATTAGCACTCCAACTTTAGCAATTTGAAGCATTGCAATAAATGGCGAGCTAGTAAAAGAACTAAACCAAAATAAAAGCCAGCCAGTAGGGATATTAGGCAATCAGAAAATTGAAATCTTTACATGCATCTTCTTGTTCTTCTGTTTCTATGATAACAAGCTTAAAGAATTTGTGTCAGAAAATAAAGTAACAAATGGAATTCAGGTACCGAATTTAAGGTTCAAAGACCTTATTCGTTGTCATTTACTTGTTTCCATTAGACTGGCAGACTCCATTGCTGTATGCTTCCTTGTGATTAAGATTAACCATACTTCCTCCCCATATTCTGATGCTGTGATCGTCACTAGCAGATGCAAGCATTTGAGGGTTTACAGGATTCCAGCTCACACAGTTCACAGCACCGGTGTGTCCGGGTAGGGCTGCAATGAGATAGCCACTGCTACGGTGCCATATATATACCTGCCACCATTGATATATAAGGCCGGGAATACAAGTTTCTAAGTTCTGGCATTAAACAACAAGTATAAACAGAAGTTGGAAAACATTATAGAAATCGTTATAGTTCCTCCCGAGATACCCCAAGCCCCCCATGAATTGGTTATTCCTAAACGAGTCATGAAGGGTATAACGAACATGCCTTGTCTCCACATCGGATCAAGAACAGGGTCAGAGGGATCAAAAACCGCTAATTCATATAGAGCCATCGAGCCGGCCCAACCAGAAACTAGAGCTGTATGCATTATATGGACAGAAAGTAATCGACCGGGATCATTCAATACAACAGTATGAACACGATGTCAAGACAAATCCATGTAAATACTCCTTTCTGAAAAAAAAAAAAAGACGTTATGTAACTTTATCGCGTTGGAAAATACTAGACCGTTTCCTTTACCTGCGCTTCATTTGCTTTGCACCTCTTTACAGCCAACCTAGCAGACCCTAACAAAGCTCGGTTACCACATACATCCAATCAGGGCTCTTATGTTTATGTGACAGTTATCTCAGCTCATGCATCATCATGCATCATGGAAAATATTTGCTTAAGAAGCTTGTCGAATAAGGCCAAATGGTAACTAGCAAGGCAATATATTCCGGGTTTGGTTCATAATTTCGTAGGAGTTGCTTGAGAGTTGTAGCTTGCTACTTTTACAGATAATAAATGAAGTTTAATCAATCTTAGAGCCACTAGTGTAAAATGGTGCATCTTTCATAAGACTTTTACTGGATAATATAGATTTTCATCAATATTAGATATAATTAATTATCACATTAACTTTTACTGAGCCGGACAACTTGTGCTTGACCCATTTCTCCAAGTCTATATAGGGCACGTTTTGAATAGTTTTTCACAGTTTCATTTTATAGATCACTGAGAAAGTTTTATATGGTTATAAATTTTTAACTATTTTCTAAAAAAAAATTATAAAGAGAAACTTTTACTAAGCAGATATATTATAGAACGTGTTAACTGCAAGAAAATTATAATATAATTTTTTAAATGAAAAGAAAAAATCAATAATATTTATAACAAGTTCAAAAAATCAATGTTCTCACAACAGACAAACAATTACTCATCTGGTTTGGGATGACATGATATGTAGCTTTAAAACATTATTGAAAGATGGCAAGCTTGACAATAAAATTAAAAATCATAATGAAAAGAAGCGAGTACCTGTGAATCTTCACTTCCACTAGCAATATAAGACTGCTCATATCCTCCAAAACAAGACCGAATAACAAACCGGCTGCGCTTGTGACCTTTATAACTCATAACTAATTTTGGAAAACCTGTAATATCCCATAAATGGATTTCCTGGTTTATAAGATTCACCAGCAAGAACTGATCGTCTCTTGATAAAGAAAATGATGTTATTGTGTGATTCTCTTCAATCAACTTCTCCACTTTTGCCTCCCTTTCAAGCACCAAAATAGCAGATTCTCTGCACATGCTTATGATTTGCTTTCCATCACCTGTAATAGTCAGGTCAGAAGTCTTGATCATCCTTTGCCCATTCCAACACTCTAGCTCTTTGCCGTCTAGATCCCACAAGCAAATGCTACTGTCTGTAACACCAGAGAAAAATCTTTTCCCATCAGGAAACCAACCACAGGAAATCAATCCAACGCCAATTTTTTCATAAACTTGCACGCACTCTCCACTGCTAATGTCCCAGCGTCTGACAACTTCTTCCAATCCACATGTTAGAAGCTGGGAGTCATCAGGACTCCATGAAATCATCAGCACAGGTTTTTGGTGGCCAGTTAGGGTATGTTTTAGCGAGAGTACCCCATCTTCACGAACCTAGCACATGATATGAAATAGAATCTTAAGAAAACTAATGCAGAGTACCTATCTTCACAAAATAGAACCATTTGCATATAGTTAAAATAAGTTTAAATGGATCGCTTTAAGTTGATAATAAACTTGATAAGGAAACATTTCAGAGGTTGCTTTTAGGAATCAACCACAAATATTTACGAACTTTTCCTTAATAAATAAGATTGACAACTTCAATATATAAGATGAACAAAGTAAGGCAAGCACACCATAATGTCAAGTTCAATATCTATCTTCTTTATAAGTACTATATATTATCTCCTCTATTTTGTTATACCCAAACCATCAAACTTTATATTATGCTAACCTAAGTTACTTGGTGACATCTAAAACTCTTGATCTAAACAATTAAAAAAAAAAGAAGGGTAAAAGGACCACGGATCAGACCCAAAATATTTCTAGTGTCTTCTCCTTCCTTAAATCCAGAAACTAGCACCTAAGCGCTGCACTTCCTACTACAGCCACCTCCTAAGGATCCGCCCTCCTCAACAAAACCTCTTGACAACCTTTATACCCATATCCTGCAACTATCGAAAACCCAAACGATTGCATCCCAGTGGCTCCATTACCTTGAGATCCCATAATTTCTTAAATAAGCTGTTAGACCAGTCCACACCGGTCCCTGGACTGGTCCAAAGGGGACCGGTTCAAATTTATAAGAGGCGCAACAAGGAGGTTCCGCCCCCTTCTTTGCACCCCTTTGATACTAAGGTCCACATGCTCGATTAGGTGAAATTATGAGGGAAATTAGGATGAAAAATTAAAATTGAAGGGGCTGTTTTGGAATTAACCTAATTAATGCATGCTTAAGTATGTTTTGATGGCTAGGGTTAGGTTTTTTCTCTTTTTTTTGCTGTAATTTCTTGGTTCTTGGTTTTTGCTTGGGCTCTAGCAGCATCTAGAGATTTGGGAGAGTCGGATCTTCCTCTCAAATAGAAGATCCATTGTATCTTGCTATTTTTCTTCATCTATTATCAATTAAAGGAGTTCGATTTTGGTTTTCTTTCCAAATTCTTCTCAATTTCAGCAAGGGAGATTCTTGTTCTCCTACAAACGTTTCCTAACAAATTGGTATTAGAGCACTCGATTTAGGGTACCAATGGCGGAAAAGAAAGTAGAAGTGTTGGAGGGGGAAATAAGTCAACTAAAATAAGGTTTTGTGGAAAAAAATTTCAAAATTTGAAAACTAATTTACATCCGTCAATGAAAAGATGGATGGAAGGTTAGCCGTCATGGAAGAAATGTTGAAAAAGTTTCTTGAAGCCAAACCCAACACGACGACATAAGAAATAAAGGAAGCTACCAGTGGCCAAAGAAGAGGAGGAAACCGTAATCCATTTAGGGGAGGGAAAAATTAAGAGGTGGAGATTTTAAAGAGAGAAGAAGGGATACCTCCGCTAGAGCCTATTTCTAGTGAAGAGATGAGTATTGGGAATGGGCAAACGGGTGCTGATTTTGCAAGAATATTGGTGGATTATGAGGGGATTTTGAAGAAGGATACGAGCGTAGAATGGAGGATCAAGACACCTGGGGAGCACCTCCCGTTCGTGGAATGAGAGGCTATGGAGGATTCAAGGGAAATGAATGTGATCCTAAAGTGAGGAAGCTGAAGATGCCCATCTTAAAGGGAGATGATGCACATGAGTGGATCTATAACGTGGAGAGGTATTTCGCCATCAATGATTTGATGAAGGATGACAGGTTGACTGAAGCGGGCCTATTTTTTAAAGGGAAGGCCTTGGCTTGGTACAAGTGGAGGGACATGCGACGATCCACATGGAGATGGAGGGAATTCAATAATTGCTTGTTGGAATGTTTCCAAACCTATGATTCACCGACACGCCTCTTAAAGAGGGTATGCAGTGTCGGACACGTGTCGGACACGGACACGCGTCGGACACGGCATGGACACGTGTCCGACACGGCATTGGAGTGTCGGAATTTAAAACATTAAAATTTAAATCGGACACGCGTGTCCGACACGCGTGTCCGGTTATTAAATGATAAAATCGTCCGTTCTATTTAGCCTTTTCGCGAACAAGAAGCCCTATTTTTCCGATCCATGAAAGAAATCTTCTAGGGCGGACCGGGAGAGCTCACAGTCGACGCCAAATGGAGCCCGCTGCCTTCGCCTCCCATTCCTTCGTCATTTCTGCTCGGCCAAGCAGAGCTCGTCTTTCTCATTCCTTCGTTCTTGCGTTATTTCTGCTGTCATTCGAGGCAAAGTTTGCAATCAAGGCCAAACAGAGCACCTTCTGCACGCAAGAGAACCAAGAATTGTAAGTGGATTTCGTCATTTCTTCTCTTCATTGTTGAAAAACCTTATGTACATGCTCGGTACCGCTCGGTATCGCTAGGTACATGCTCGGTACCGCTCAGTAAATGCTCGGTACTGCTCAGTACATGCTCGGTACTGATAGGTACATGCTCGGTACTAGTAGGTACATGCTCGATACTGCTCAGTACTGGTAGGTACATGCTCGGTACTGGTAGGTACATGCTCGGTACTAGTAGGTAGACGCTCGGTACTGGTAGGTACATGCTTGGTACTGGTAGGCACATGCTCGGTACTGGTAGGTACATGCTCGGTACTGCTAGGTATATGCTCGGTACTGTTAGGTACATGCTCGGTACCACTCGGTATCTTCACATACAAACAACTTACGAACTTTAAAAACAAGCATAACTTCAAAATTACTCTTACAATAAAATTTTGTTCCGGGGGCGCTGCCCCCGGAAACCCCTGCAGGGACGCTGCCCTTTAACCCCGCGACCTGACCGGGCAGGTCGAACCCCGCCAGGGGGCAGCGCCCCCGACAGACCGGTATATTGTTTTATTTATGTTGTGATTATTTTATTTCACTTCATATCATTTTAATTCGATGTATTCATATGCATGATTGATTTGTTAGCAAAATGAGCTCGGCTGCTGGCGGGAGTGGATTAGTTGAAGGTTCAAAAGAGCCATCTGTAGAAACTGATAAGCCATTATGGATTCATGTTACAAAGTTAGGAAAAATATTTGAAGGAGGAGGGAATGTGTCATTCAAATGCAATTATTGTGGTGGCACCTACAAAGGATCTTATTCTAGGGTGAAGGCACATCTACTTAAAATTTCTGGCCATTGAATAAAAATGTGTCCTAAGATTACTACGTCGCAGTTGATTGAATTGAACAAACAAGTTGATGAAGCTGAATCTAGGATCCAAAGACACTCCCTAAAGAGGTACCTTTGTCATCTACTCATGGCTCATCTCACACATCTTCCTCATCTGTGAGAGTTGATCAAGCTTTATCATTTAGAAGTGAAGGATATGAAACAAAGAAAAGAAAAGGAGTAGCCAGTAGTCCTCTAGAGAAGGCTTTTAATTTGCAGCAGCGAGAGGAATTGGATGGTGAAATAGCAAGGATGTTTTTTTCAGCGGGACTTCCTTTCAACCTTGCAAGAAATCCTCATTATAAAAATGCATTCATTTTTGCATGTAACAACAACCTCGCAGGATATGTTCCACCTGGCTACAATGCATTAAGATCAAAATTATTGAATGATAACAAGATGTGGGATATTGCTGGAGATGGGTTCGAGTGCCTTGATGATATGGGATTATTGGATGTTGCAAATCTTTCTCTAGATGAACCAGAGTTTGAAGCAATGATATTCACAATGATGATATTGAAGACCAAAGACCAACATCTGAATCTAATTTTATCATTCCCTCTATTGAGTAGTTAGACCTTCATGTTGTATTAAATGATTTTTTGCTTATATTTTTGTGTTTGTACTAGACATTTTGTACTAAACATCTTTATGTTATAAGCTAAATAAGTTATCAACTTATCATGAAATTGATTTATTATTGCTTGACATTTTTACTATAATGTCACCTTAATTTTTATATATTATATTAAAAAATTATTATGTTGTGTCCACGCCGCACCCGTGTCCTATATTTTTAAAAAATTGCCGTGTCCCGTGTCCGTGTCGTGTCGTTTCCGTGTCGCCGTGTCCGTGTCGGTGCATCATAGTTCCAAACCAACAGGGTAGGAGACTTCTAAGAGCAGTTTTTCGCCCTGACACGGGAGGGTTCAGTGATAGAGTACCAGGAGAGATTTGAGTACCTCGCTAACCGTTTGGACCACCCTTCAGAGACGGTGTTAGGGGAACTTCATGAAGGGACTCAAACCAAAGATCCGGGTAGTGGTTAGAGTAATGAGGCATTAGGACTTGAGAGAGGCTATGGAGTTAGCACAGTAACTAGAGGACCATAAGTACCTTGAAAGTGGGACCGAAGGAAGAAATTCAAGAGGCTCATATAGGATGATTACTACGTTCCTTGCTCATAAAAGACTAGCACCGAGAAACCTTCGTGAGGCCCCAAAGGAGAAGCCTGTAGGAGAGAAATTCGGGGTAAATTTCAAGAAGCTCACTAAGAAAGAGTTGCATGAGAAACTAGCAAAGGCATTATACTTCAGATGTGATGAGAGGTACACGTTAGGGAACAGGTGTAAGGACCGAACTCTTCATGCTCTCACCATCTGTGATGACGAGGAAGCAGAGGAGGGAGGTGCGAGTGTGATAGTGGTAGAAGAGGAGGTAGAGCTGCAACTTAACATGGATGAAGTCTCCTTAAAATCTGTGGTGGAGTTCACCACGAATCACACCATGAAGGTGAAAGGAGAGATAGCAGACAAATAGGTAGTGGTGTTAATCAACAGTGAAGCTACTCACAATTTTATCTCCAATCAGCTCGTTGACCAATTGGGGGTGAAATTGGTGGACACTGGGGGCTATGGAGTGATGATGGGCACTTGGAAGGTGGAGATGGGTATAGGGGTGTGTAACAGAGTTTTGCTGACTATACAGGGTGTTCAAATGAGGGAGGATTTTCTCCAATTGAAGTTAGGTAGCACTGATGTCATCATGGGGAAGAAATTGTTACAGACCTTGAGAGATACCAAGGTT